ATACGGGAAAGGTCATATATGTCAGTGAACTATGCGAATTAGGATAAATATACCCATCGTTAATAGTTTGGCACAGATATGCTCAATCCGTCCAATACTTGCTCATTCATGTCCTTAATTTAACGGAATCACTATTTTATCTTTCTTAAATAATTAATAACCGGACCCAACCAAAATATGCTGACCCGATCCGTTAGGACCTGGCCCATCCTTATTTCAAAGATATTTTTTGATATATTATTTTTTTTTGATTGAGAAATTGTGTAATAATCATATTTATTTATTTGAGTAATGTGATAATCGATTTATTTGAGTATATTATTTTTATGCATGATTTATTTTATATTTGGTTGGGAAAAGTATATACTTGATGTCAATATTTTTGAAGTAAGACAATTACACCTATATATTTTTATCTTATGTCCCTGTAACGTCCATTTAATCTAATAGTAAATTTTTTACCAACCACATAATTTTCTTCTTATCCAATCTAAAAATCACAAATACGATATTTAATTTTTCAAGACTATCATCAGTACATTGGAAATCACCCCGAGTGTCCAAAATATTATGTGTCATTAAAAATAAGTATTATGATAAAAGTTGTAATCAAACTAAGTTTACAATGAAAGTGCATACTTCTTGAATGTGGAAACTCGATCATGCTTATTGTAATTGTGTGATTTTTGATAATTAGTTTTTGTCATTTTCTTTTTGTCACCTATACGTCAGTGACATCAATTTTTGTTTGTAAAAATTATAATGGTTGTAGATTTCTGTAATACATCTTAACATCTAGAATAATCCTAGTAAGTCCTTGAATTTTCTTATTATGTATATCTTAAGAAAAAGCTAATATCTTTTCATGCTTTAACGTAATTTTAGATACTATCAAGTAAGATTTAAATCCTAAATATTTGAACTACCAAAATAGTCGTCATAAGAGTTTTACTGGTACGTCTTCTTTTATGTTTTTGCTATGTTATTTTAACAACTGATTCGATTATTTATATTGTTGTATATTTTAGTAGTAAGTGAATTATGCAGTATATGACGTACACAATTATTTTATGTAATATTTTAAGGGATAAGTTTTATAAATAGATAAAGTTCGGTAAAAGAATTTACCGAGAAAACTCTAGTCCTTTTCCCATTCATAGCCAATCATGGGTACCCTGCCTAGATAACCATGTAAAATTCACTTTTATTTTGATAATATTTTTATGTTCTTGCTCTTTAGCTTTGAATTTATGTTAATTATTAACAATGAGTTTAACATTAAAGTCTTCCTGAAAATCAAATTTTACCACTTGTTGTTCACAATTAAATTTTACCACTATAAATGGTAGTTTTAGAATATTTAAAAAAAATGGAGAAACTCCAAAGCTCTCAACTGAGTTATTACTAGAAATCCGGTAAAAACCGATCAAAAAAATCGACCAACGTTGGTTGGTAATGGCCAAAAACCGACCAAAATATGACCATTTACTTGTGAACGGTATTTTTGTGGTCGGAAAGGCATACCGATCAAAGTTGGTCGGAAATTACCGACCAACTTTGGTCGGTCAATTAAATTCAAAAAAAAATATTGCAAAAAAAATCGACCAAAGTTGGTCGGTATTTTAAATATGTAATAAAAAGATTCGCCATCTGGGAATCGAACCGGGGTCTGTACTATGGCAGGATACTATTCTACCACTAGACCATTGGTACATTTTATCTTACGACTGTCTTGTATTTGATTTATACTCTTTAATTATATTTTCGCATTAAAATAACCGACCATAGTTGGTCGGATTTTTTAAATGACCGGCCGAATTAACCCACCAATTTTGGTCATTTTTTTAATATTAATTTTTATTTTTTTTAATTGAAAAACCGACCAAAGTTGGTCGGTTTCTTAAAACATAAATTTCGCGGGACTCAAAAATAGTTTTCCACATTTTTGCGCCAAAGAAAACCAACTAAAGTTAGTCGGTTTCGTAAAAAAATAATTTTAAAAAAATATTTTGAAAAACCGACCAACTTTGGTCGATTTTTTGACCGACCAAAGTTGGTCGGTCGACCTTGGTCGGTTTTTGCCGAATTCCTAGTAGTGAGTTTTAAAAGACTTAAAATGCTCTAGATTACATTTCAAGCATATTGTAATTTTTTTCTACAAACGTTTAAAATTATTGAGCACGTATTAAACAGTATATACAATAGAAAATGGGCTATAATTTACCTTGCTCACAGTATATGATGGGACCTAATTGAAAACCTTAAAAATTTTATCTCCATCCTTTCATACAAAAAGGTGAAAATCCTTATAAATTGTACCATTTTAGCGGAGAATAAATGACTAAGCAGCTGTACATGCCGTCAAAATAAAGCTGATTATTTAGCCTTTGCAAAATACCTCAACCATACCCTTTATTTACTTATTTTGTATGATGGTAATTGTAGTAATAATGAGCTAATCCATGGCTTACAGGAAGACCCCAAGCTCCTCAACTGCCTCTTATTAACAGTAGGAATAGGAATAGGAACTATATGGACTTGGTCAAGGAAAACCAAGTTACATTATTAATTGTAGTGTGTGCCCACAATATATCTAATACTGGCTTTTGACGTTCAAACTTCAAAGATGGATCTTAGAATGAAATCTGATCGATAGGAAGACACCTTCGCCGCGTGATGCCTGTCTGGTCATCCCTAATCTAAATCATGTACTGTAACAAAGATAATATTTCAAAATAAGAAATACAATGTGACGGAAGTTATTCTCCTCAAAATGTCTTGGAAAATTAGTCAACTTTTTCTGAACTTTTTGTTCGATGTTTAGTGAGTGAGAAAAATATTTATTAAAGATTGATACTAGTGTTAGCAAATTTGATAGTGTTTTGATGAACATTTTGAGTATTAGAAATTTAGTTTTGAAATTATTTAAGAAATCAAAATACATATATTCTATAAAATGTAAAAGTCGACAATCATTTTGGAGGGTTTCCATGTGTTAGTAAATTTGGGAGATCGGAAATAGTTAGATATATGCTTTCACTATTCTGGAATTGAAAATCTAGATAGATTATTTGTTAAAATTACATAGAAGAAACGTAAAGGAAAAGAAAAAGGTTGATCAGAATTAGTTTATTGTTTCCATTGCTTATTAATTATGTCAAACTACTAAGTAGTACTTTGAAAAACAGATATGACTCAATATGAAAGTGATAGAGTTAAGTTCAAAATTCTCGGTCGAGTTTCGGGAAAGAGTCGCTAAATCTTAGCACTCAACCACTTGCACTAAAAAGGCAAGTTGATTCTCTAATCATAAAATTCATCCACTGTGGGGTTGTCGTCAAATCAGATCATGCAAAATGATAGAGCTGTATAGCTCTCAACATAATCATAAAGGAAAAAGGTCAAAAATACTCTTCTAATATGAGTAAAGAATTAAATATATATTCTGTTATACTATTCATTACCCAAGTTATAAAATTAATACAAAACTATCCCTCCGCCATTAAAGCCCTCTACCATGGCAATGCCGTGCAGGGACGGCTCAATGATATTTGTGGCCTAAAACCAAACTTCATTGAGGAGCCTTAAAATTTTTGTTGTAGAAGAAAACTCATAATTTTATTTGAAATTTATTTTTCTAGTTTTTTGAGATGCGAAATTATTAATAATTTGTTTATAATCGATTTCTTCTAATAATTCTTTTTTAATTTATAATATACTAATCCATTTAATCTCTCTTGAGACATTGTTGATCTTAAGTAAGATTTTATTAATTTTAATTTTAAAAATCTTCTTCCCGCTGAGGCAACTATTACAGGAATTGTTAACATTATTCTATAAGTAATATAAGCATTTGGAAAAGAATCAAGTCTTTTTATATGATTAAGTATATCGATTAGAGTATCATCTTCTACATGTATTATTTCCCTAAAAACTTTTAATTCAGAAAATAAGTCTAAACCATCAATATCAGAGTAACTATTATGTTTCAAAGAACATTCAAGGTTAAGACAATTTTTTTAAGTTCTCATCATCTAGAGATCTCAATTTTTTGCTACTAAATAGGAAACCAAAAATATTTTCATACGCTTCAATTGTTCAAATCTATTTTGAAGTGAAAAAATAGTTTGGTCTACTATGTATAAGAAGTAATCAATTCTAAAAGATTCTTCAAGAGACTTTGCAATTTCATTATCAATATTCTCATCAAATTATTTCTTTCTATATATTACACGTTTATTACGAAATTCAGGTTCTATATTCAACTCATATGCAATTTCCTTAGAAGAAATCATGGTAGTTGTAAATTCTTCTTCTCTATATTTTTTGAAAAAAGAAATCAAACCCCTAAGTTAATCTATGGCAACATCAATATGCATATCTTTTGATTGTAAATATTTGCTAAATGAATTAACTGCAAATAGTATATCATACCAAATAGTCATACCCAATAAAAACTTAAAATTTTCATGCTCAAAGTTGCTAAACAACTAGCTTCGCTTTTAGTTTTTGGATCCTCACTAACTTCTACTAATTTGAATAAAGCATTTCTTATTTGTGAAGTTTGAAATCGTATTGCTTTAATACATTCAATATGACTTTCCCAACGCATTTGTGATAATGATTTAAGAGTTAGGCTGGGTACATTATCTTCTAAAATTTTCCATCGCAAAAATATATTCCTTTTCCAATTGTTTTCCAACAGTCTTTTTTCCTTGAAACTTGTATTTTTTTTTCTTTTTAAATACTTAATATTATTAAAAAGAATGAACAAAATACATTAACTGTTAGAAAATTTTAGGCCCCAAATAAGGGGCCTAAGCAAGTGCTTTACTTGCTTGGCCATTAGGCCGACCTGATGCCATTCTAAGTGGCCTGACATTTCATTGAAGTGCATGCCATGTTCATTCTTCCACCTTATTCTTTATGTTTCATTAAATCTCTANGTTACCACAAACCAAGCATGTTGATTTATCAGAAGAGAATGTGGACAAAGCATGTTTAAGCGTTGTTTCTAGGGCCATACGAAATCTCTATTTTGATATTACGACGTGAAAGTACATACCAAAAGCTGTCATGCACTCTCGTACGTTATTGAGCTAATAGCCTAATACTAGTCTAAAACATTACATTTCCCCTATAAACCTAATATAGTACTTGCCAAGTAGCCGACAAGGCAGCACTTTCCGGTCACCGGAATTATTTACATGCCGGCAACGGAGAGCCACAAAGGCATTTATTAGGCAAATAAGAGTAAACGTCAAAGCTCTGCAACTTCCCACCTTGTGGAATCTGTCCACAGAGCCTATTATAACTCACATTCAAATTCTGTAACTGTAAATCTTTCAATCCTTCTGGTAAGCTACCAAAAATCCGATTATGGTTCAAATCCAACCACGTTAAACTCTCCGGGAATTCCACTTTCGAAATATCAAACTCAAACGTATTCCTTGAAAAATCAATTAGTCGAATTTTCTTGTTCTTTCCAAATAAGAAAGAAACATCACCTTCTAACTTGTTCCTTGAAAAATCAAGTGTTGTAAATTTCAAATTGCCTAAAGATTTTGGTACTGGGCCAGTGAGGCTGTTATGTGAAAGGTAAAGATTTTGGATTTGTCTGAATTTTCCGAATGATTCTGGAATTTGTCCAGTGAGTTTATTGCGGTCTAAGTAGATTTCTGATAAATTAGGAAGTTCAGAAAGTGATGGTGGGATTGTTCCAGTGAATTGGTTGTAGTTTAATTCAAGCAAAGTTAAATTCTTGAGTTGGCTAAGAAATTCAGGAATAGGGCCACTGAGATTAGTGAAACTGAGTCTTAACTCTTTCAGATTTATGAGCTTTGTAATAGTGTGGGGAATGGTTCCTGTAAGATTGGTGATATGATGGAATTGTAAGGTTTCGAGAAAAGGGAGGTCGCCGACGGCGGCCGGAATTTGACCGGAGATGTTGGCTTGGAAGACGGTGAGAGCATTAATCCGGTTTGTTTTCCGGTCACATTCTACGACGTACCAATCACAGCAATCTGTGTTGGGATCCCATGAGGCTAAATGGTAGGGATTACCTAAGTCATTCTTGATTTTTAGAAGGACTTTTTTATCGTTTGGATTGCATTTCAATGAGTGAGAAGGGGAGGGAAAAGAAAGGAAAAGGAAGAGAGAAAGGTAAAGAATGGGAAGAAAAGAGGAGTTCATTTTCTTCTGTTATTGCATGAAATTGTGGAGTTCAAATATTGCTATTTATAGAGATTTTGTTGCTTGTGATTTTCAATCAAAATGGGAAACGAAGGAGAGTCAGTAGTTACTGCTATGTGATCAGAATGTGATATGTTCAAACAGTAAAAATAACTTGTCGTAAATATGCGGTTCCCTTTTTTAATCAATATGGGAAGTGATTGAGGGATTTTTGAGAGATCACTTGACGAATGTGATACTCGTGTCCCATATTACTTGTCAACTTCCTCTTTTATATGCCTATTAAAAAATTATAAATAAGAAGGATATTTTTACTAATCTATCCTTCTAACTCTTTTTAATACACTTTATTTATGTGGCCTCAAACTAATCAACTCAAACTAATGAAGTGTATCCAGATCATTTATCCAAAAATTCTCATTAATGGAGTAGCATAGAGCATATGAACAGACACCATCAAAACTGGATTTTTCGTTGCACTAATAACCCTTTCCTCCAAATTTTTCAAATTAACTTGAAAACGTTTCAACGTGAAAACCATTTGGAGCCGTAAATATCTACATGAAAATTGCTTGAATCCTATATGAAAGTAAAGCATTTCCCGCCTAAAATTCTTTGTAAAAAGAAGGGAAAAGGGCCAAATATTCATCTACTTTTGAATATTGTTTACATTTAACCTCCGTTATACTATCCGGCCAAATTTATCTCTATTCTTATACTATCTAGCCAAATTTATCCCTATCATCAACAAACATTTAAAAATTACCCTTTGATTTATTAAGTAATCCAAAATCTCCCAAATTATTTTTATTTAAATCACTTGTTGTTCTTCTTACTCCACTATTTTCAGAAATTATTATTTATATGAATGCTAAAGTTACTCTCTCCGTTTCAATTTATGTGAATCTGTTTGACTGAGAACAAAGTTTAAGAAAAAATAAAGATTTTTGGAATTTGTGTTCCTAAATAATTCAAAAAGGGGCCCAAAGTATTTGTGTGGTTATAAAAGTTTCTCATTAAGGGTAAAATTATAAGTTTAAGTAAAATTATTTCCAAATTTAGAAAGGGGTCATTCTTTTTGGAATGGACCAAAAAAGAAAATAGATTCACATAAACTGGAACAGAGGGAGTACTAGACTATACAAATTATTCATTAATATTTTTACTTACCAATGCACTCACTTCTCTTCTTGTAATAATGAGTTTGGAATTGGTTTATTTTATTTTTAAAATATTTTTCAACTATATACACACTGTAGAATTCAGTGGGTCTATTTATTGTGAATTATATGCAGCTGATCACCATGTATGTACATGTATTATATTCAAATATATTTTATCATTGTCTGGTTAATATGGAGTTCAATCAACTAACTTAAGAGTGGACAATGTGTAGGCATTTGATTAAAGCAAATTTGAATTCAACAATGTAAAGTCTACGAGGAACTTCAACTTCAATCACTAATACTTGCAAAGTCCCCATACGTTTGGTACAACGAATTCATTAAAATTGGGATGTTGTAAATACTTTTAGAATTTAGACATGCTACCTAATTTATATTTTTCAAATAACTATATTTTGTTTATTAACAATTGTATTTTTTAATATTTTTTTCTCTAATTTAGAGAGCAGGTAAATGATAATTATTTTGAAAATAGTGGACCAAGAAGAAGAATCAGTAACTTAATTAAAATAATTTGGGAGATTCTGGGTCACCTGACGGACGAAGGGGTAATTTTTAAAAGTTTGCTGATTGTAGGGGTAAATTTGGCCAGATAGTATAACAGTATGCTTACATTTGGATGGATAGTATAACAGAGGTTAAATGTAGACAATATCTTAAAGTAGAAGGGTTTATTATCCTTTTTCCCTAAAAAGAATGATTGACCTACTTAAACTATAAAATAAATGAAGGTTTTACTTAAATGGTGAGCAATGGAGCACCACTCCAATAAATGAGTTTGTTAGATTTGTGTTTTCTATTAACAGTGAAGGTAAGCCACACAAGCGAGTCTTCTTGTAGTATTAACATCCCCAAACAGACGGATCGTTAAGTGTAATTTGTGAAGAAGGCGCGCTGAGTAATTGCACCTTCATTGTAAATTTTAAAATCAACTGAAGGTGTGATTAACTGGCGCGCCTTCCTTATATTTTGTATTTACACAGAAGGCTCAATAGGGTGACGCGCCTCAGTTGAATTAAAAATTCTGGTGCTGATTTGACTTCTGGCGCTATAGCTTTACGAAAGACTTATTGTCAGATTGCGCCTTCTGTGAAAAATGGAAGGATGCGTATTGAATGCGCCTTTTGTTGAAAACAAATGCTAGAATACATGCATTTGGATTCTATATATACCGATGTTATTTCATGACGTGTATGGTGTTTTTGAATATACCGAATTTTGTTAAAAGGTTAGTATTATTTTCAAACTTTGTAATCTAATTGCCAAATGTTGGTATTATTTACTGATTATAATTGCTACTTTCTGTAGGTTTTAAGATGTCAACTGATCAGCGTGTAAAGGCTGCGATGTACTGTGAGGCTACAATCACGCTACATGATATTGTTGTATTGTACGGGTTACCTATTGATGGAGATCCTGTGACGGGGTTGGATGATACTAGGGGCACTGAAGAATGGTTGTCACGACCCAAACTGGAGGGCCATGACTGGTACCCGGGCCATACATGTCGAGCACCAACGTACATTTTATCTAACCTTTCTTATTATCTATAAAGGCCGACGAGATCAATATAAATGGTAGACATGAATCATGAACAACCAACAATGACAGATAATGGCATGAACATACATAACATGGGCCAACAAGGCTGTCATATATAAGGTACGAGATGACAAGATGCCATGAGAGACTATACAACAAAAATCAGCCGATAAGGCAATCCAAACTATACATGAGTCGACACCTGTCTATGAGCCTCTAAAGGAACATAAGTGCTGCAACATTGTCGAAACAGTGCCCTAACCTACCCATAATGTCTATAACAAAAGTGCACACCAAGACCACGGCAAGTTAGGAGAAGGGATCACGCCAATAAACGCTGAACTGAGCAGCCTATTGTGGTGGGGGAGCTGCATCTACCTGTCTATCAAGACCTGCAGCACGACATGCAACATCCACAAATAAAAGGGACGTCAATACGAATAAGGTATCGAGCATGTAAGGCAGGAAAATATAAATAAGAACAGTAATGTAAGCAGGGATAAAAAATATACAACTTCTAATATTTGAGTGCCTTTGATATATATATATATATATATA